CTATTTTCTTACATTTTATCCCTTTAATATCTGTTGTTTGCCTAATTGCTGCTGCTAGTGGTTCGATAAAGATAGCAAATAGTGAGGGGGAGAGTGGGCATCCCTGCCTGGTCCCCCTCTGAAGACAGAAGCTAGCTGATATTTGGTCGTTCGTCCTGACACGTGCTGTTGGTGAACTGTATAATGTTTCTAGCCAGTTTATGAAGAAGTTCCCAAAGCCAAATTTATGTAAAGTTGCAAATAAGAACTTCCAGTTAACTCTATCAAAAGCTTTTTCTGCATCTAGAGATAATATACTAGTTTCTATGTTTCTACTGTAAGAGAAATCTATCAAATTAAGTAATCTACGTGAGTTTGTGGATGACTGTCTACCCTTAATGAAACCAGTTTGGTCAGGGTGCATTATGAAGGGGGTTACCTTCTCTAATCTTTTGGCCAGGGCTTTACAAATTATTTTGAGATCAACATTAATAAGAGAAATTGGGCGATAGCTGGTTGGAAAGGCTGGGTCTTTGCCTGGTTTTAACAAGAGACTAATATTGGCTGAATTCATGTTTGGCTGTAATCTGCCGCTCTCTTCGATTTCCCTCACCATTCTGAAAAATGTTGGAGCCAGAATGATCCACAATTCTTTGTAGAATTCTACTGGGAACCCGTCTGGACCTGGAGCTTTCCTATTAGTCATGGATTTAAGGTCTTCCTGGAGCTCCGCTGATGTTAGTGGCGAGTCCAGGACTGCAACTTGGCTGTCTGATAATTTAGGAAGTGTTATCCTGTCAAGGAACTCATTGATCTCATTATCTGATGGGTTTATCTGTGGTGAGTACAAAGTTTGGTAAAAGTCTCTGAAGGTGTTGTTTATTCTTTCAGGGTCATTAACTATATTCCCGGTTGAGTCTTTAACAGCAGATATGGTAGTTTTCTCTTTATTTATTTTTAATTGGCTAGCTAAGAATTTACCTGATTTATTACTATGTTCGAAGTTTTCTATTCGTAGTCTTTGTTCTAAAAATTGTGTCTTTTTGTCAATAATTCCATGAAATTCTAATTTAGCTTTACGTAATTTACTCATTGACTCTTCTTCTGTGGATGCCTCTAAAGACTTGATGATTTTCTGTTTTTTTCCTATGTGATGAGGAAGAGATTATTTTACCTCTCATCACTGCCTTTCCTGCCTCCCAAAGTATAGGTGCTGATGTTCCAGGCAGGTCATTATGTTCTAAATATAAAGCCCACTCCTTTTTAAAAAAATCAATAAAACCTTCGTCTTTAAGCAGTGATGTATTAAACCTCCAGTTTTTGCTTGGTGGGATTGTCTTCTTATTTACCAGAGTTAAAGAAACTGGAGCATGGTCGCTGACAACTATGGGGTGTATCTCAGTGTCTGAAATGTCAGCCAACAATGAGCTGCTGACTAGAAAATAATCCAAACGTGAGTGAGAGTGATGGACGTGCGAAAAAAAAGTATACTCTCTACGGTTAGGATGAAGAGATCGCCATGCATCACAAAGCCCATAATCACTCATGTACTGTTTAACTATGTTAGTGGATTGCCAATTGCGCTGAGTCCCAGCTGTACTGAGCCTGTCTATTAAGGAATTCATCCAAAAATTAAAATCCCCTCCAAGTATAAGTGGACAGTCCAAGTGTTCGGAGAGTACAGAGAAAAAATTATGAAAGAATGGAGGGTCATCAATATTTGGACAGTATATGCTGACGGTACATAAGTGTTGGTTCTGTACAGATATTTTTAACATTATAAATCTACCCTCTGGATCAGAGACTGTGTCCAATACTGTGAAATTGATGTTTTTGTGTATTAAAATAGCTACACCTCTTTGCCTAGAGTTATAGCAGGCAGAGAACATGCTGGGAAACTCAGGTGTCTTAAGTTCTTCTGCGGATGTGGCAGATCTATGAGTCTCTTGTAACAATATTACGTCTGCTTGCACTCTCTTTAACTGATCAAAAATTTTTAATCTCTTCTCTCTAGAGCCAGCCCCATGTACGTTCCATGAGACAAACATTAGTGCACCCATAGATGTGTGTGTGAGTAGCTAAAATATGATGCCTTCATGTGAATAAGATGGAATAAGTATATAAATGTATAAATAGTATGTTAATAAATAACAGAAAAGTAAATAATAATAATAATAATAATAATAATAATAATAATAATAATAAAGATCCAACAGTGTTTGTGGTTGTATTATTTGACGCATAAATTATGATATTGTGCTGTGAATTTAATATATCTATGTGTGTGTGTGTGTGTGTGTGTGTGTGTGTGTGTGCGTGTGTGTGTGTGTGTGTGTGTGCGTGCGTGTGTGTGTGTGCGTGTATGTGTGTGTGTCGAGTCTGATGCAGTGTTGGAAAGTTGTGTGGTTGTGCCATACAGGTGTAAAGCTACAGAAGCAGGTAAAGAGGAAGGGAAAGTACAGATACAGGTTAAAAAAGAAGAAAGAACTAAAAAGAAGAGGTGATGGGGTGTAAGGTGCTGATGAATAGGTGATCTTATCATCTAGAAAACGGATTTAGCAGCTGTTTAATCCTGACGTGATCAAACCCAGTGAATCCTGATAAGAATAGTAAATGTCTGACCTGATGTTGGGCTAATACAGCCAGTCAGTCACTCCTCGCTCCTTGTAAAGTTTATTGTCCACATAAAGCTTATCCACCGAGATGACAGCCCTCTTCCCATCCTGGATAAACTTTTTACGCAGCGGAAAGAGGACTCTGCGCCGATCCAGAATTTCCTTCTGGAACTGATCATTCATGCTGAAATCTTTCCCTTTGAGCTCTCTTCCGTGACTTTTAACAAGATCCTTCTGCTTAAAATGTTCAAATTTAGCCATGATGGGACGAGGTCTTCTGCTGTCCACTCGTCTAGCTCCAAGGCGATGTACCCGGTGAAATGTGATCTTTTGTACCGTTTCTTCGGGTATCTTCATTTCGGTCTGGAGAAAGTTCTTGATTGTATGCTCGCAGTTCTCCGCCCCTCCCGTCTGCTCCGGCAGACCTGCGAACACCAGATTATCCCTCATGCTACGGGCCTGAAGGTCCAAAACCGTCTCCTTCAGAGTTTTGTTGTCCTGGGTGATCCGCGTCATTCCCTCTTCCAGGGAAGAAACGGACTCCCGCAGAGACGCGTTCTCAGCAGCGAGCCGCTCAACCTGTTCCTGACTGAACTCCAGAGATGTTCGGAGGTTCTGAAACTCCTGGTGAAGAACCTCGAGCAGATGAAGTCGCCCCTCAAATCCCAGAAGCCGTTTATCTATAGAATCTAATAATTCTAATACGTCCTTCCGGGGAGTTGAGGCCTCAGGCGAGTCCTGAGGACGGCTCCTCTTGGTCCCAGTAGGTGTTTCAGCCTCAGCTGCTGATTTCTTCGGACCCATGACAAATAACTCAAAAACTTTGTGAATATAATTTAGTAAACTTTCTGAATTTTCTTCTCTTACCTCCAGATTCAGTGAGTTATACTTACCAGATTATTTTTTGCGTTGTCAGTAAATAAATTAGGCGAAAATGTGTCTTAATTGTTTGTGGATGTTTGTTAACGAGCTGCCATCAGCTTCAAACGCTGCCGTGTATCCGGTGATCGGCCGTCAGCGCATGCTCACTCTCCTCCTCAAGCTATAAGGTAAGTTTTGTTGATATGAATACAGATTACAAGGATTCGAGGTGTTGTTTCCGAACGTACTGCGTTGCTAGTATACGAGTAGCAACGCTATACACGCTAATGTCACGGTCTGGTTTTTTTTCACACACTAATTGGTGTTGAGTCTCATCTCTCCTCTGCAGGTGGGCATGCCTGGAAGTGGGGAGGCTGCAGGTAATCTGCTGATTAGCTGGCCAGGGATATTTAAGCTCCTGAGAGACGCCTTCACCTTGCTGGATGATTAACTCGACTTGGGTATTTCTCCTAACAGCCAAACTCACCCTAAGCTTTGATCTTGAGAATTTCTGGATTATGGATTTTTGAGCTCTCTGTGTTTTTGACTGCCTGTTTTTTGCCTCCTGCAGATATCTCCTATCAGTTCACCTCGTTGCTGCTACCTGGTTTTTTCACTGTCCACTCGTCTCTCAGCGTCCTCCTCTGGTCTTCCCACTCCAGGCTGCCCACCCTCCCTTCTGGATCATCATTACCCTTCATGCTCAGCTCCCTCCTCATTTGGACTCTAAGCTCATCTGCCTCCAGTAAGCCTCCTGCCCTCCCCAGACCGGTCACTCCTCCCTCTCTCACGAGGTCTCACCTCCAACCCGTAAGTTCCATCAGATCCAACATTCAGATTTCCGAGTGCCAGACCTAACTCTCCCTGTTTTTCCAGACTCTCCACACCCAAACCTTGCTTCTCTGCCGAATACTGCTAGACTTCCTAGCAGCTCCTTCAATTCTCCTTTTACTAGTAAATTATTGTTTGCAATCTTCTCTGACTCTGTGGACTGATTCTGTATGTCGTGGGTTAGGTATCTACCACACAACATGACAGCTAAACGCTAAATTCAAAAGTAAACACATCAGGATCATAGTTTTACGGTAAAAACTAATGAAAAAATTGCAAAAATATAGAAGATTATTATGTTTTTATAATAACTTCGGTATTTTGTTATTTGTAAACAACACAGCAGTGGTTTGCTCAAGTACTGCTTTTTTGTCTTGTAAACTCTGTAAAATAAATACAAGTAAAAAATAAATAAATAAAAACTAAACAAAATAACATTAATATAGGTATCAGCTTTCCTGGCCCAACTCAGTACTTAAAATTCAAAAAATGAATGTTTGATGGCTGAATAAGTATACTTATTTTTTGGACTTTAATTTGTGCCTGACTGCTCTGTGTCACTGAAAGAAATAATAAAATACAAGCTATTTCTTGAACATTCAGCAGTGATTATGCATCCCTCTGAGTCACTCACACCACAGCCTGGTGCATTAACCCTATGTCTATGATCTTCAAAGGCTGCCTGTATCTTCACCTTCTTTTCCCTCTCTACAGTCTCTGATCTTCAGTGTGTGAGGAGGTGGAGCCAGGAATACAGTGAGGCACCGTCCCCAGTGAGATCATCGACTTCTTAGGGTGATTTACATGTGATTACAGCTTGTTCATCAGAAACAGCCCACTACAGTTTTAAACCAGCTATTCCAGGTCGTAATGACAGAGTTCCTCAGGTGAGAAGCAACAATTCTTTAAGAAACTTTATTTAAACCTCCTCAAAGTGCTATTGTTTTCTATTTGATTCTATAATACAGACAGCGAGTCACATAACTGGTGTTGTGTTACAAAGATAAGAGGATCAAATGAGCTTTACTACTAAGGAATAGTTTGTCTAGTTTGTTAATCAAACCAATAAATATAGATATGGGTTTAATAAAGGCAGATAGTCGAGTGAGGTTTGATGACAGTAATAAATATTACCCAGCCTCTCTTCATCTTGTTTGCAGTTGTATCTTTAAAATGTTGTAATGAGAAGAGAAGATACACACACACACACACACACACACACAGTTTTAGTGGGTTCATTATTTGATAGAATTGTTATTGAAGTTAATCAGCTCCAGAACAAAGACATGATTATCAAAACTATGCAAGCAAATCTTAAAATATTTTATAATGTTGTGTCTAATAACTAAATCAAAAATGTCCTTGAACTTTACCAGGCGAAGATGCAGAGGAAAATGGTATTTTATCCAGGAAAGCTGAGCGTGGTTTTCCGTAAGGGGCCCCTTGGATATCTCCTGCAGGCGCCCTCTCCTGAAGCCAAGCGCATCAAGGATGACCCCAGTTTGCAGGACAGGTCTGCGTCCATGAAGGAGGACCTGGTACGGCAAAATGCTTTGGCCACAGTTCGTAGGAGAGGAGGGGATACCACAGACATTACAGAGCTGCTGGGAGACTACATCCTTCAATTTGGAAAATATAAAGGAAAGTCTTTCAGGTGGCTTTTAGAAAATGATGTGGGATACACTCTGTACCTCATTAAGAACCGCCAGAAGGAGGAGGATTTGGGTCTCTGTAGCTCGGCTGAGGATCACAGCAAGGTCAGCCTGCAGACATTTGTTAAGTTTGCTCTCAGTTTTGCAGAGATCAAGTCTGTCCTCGGCTACGAGGCAGGTGTTGTCAAAGCCTCTTGTGAAGATGAGCAGCAGGTTGGCTTTGGCTCCCAGGCCAAAAGCACATGGAAGGAAATCTGGGACAGTAGAGCTGATGGGTATGCGGACTTCATCTTGAAAAAGAGTTGCCTCCCCGGGACACGCATGAAGAAGCTGCTGCAGTACCTGCAGGGCAGACATCAATCTGCCTCAGCTTCTACACCCACTGAACAGGATACAAGTGTGCCACCTGAACCTCTGCGTAAGAAACTTGATTCATGTCTTGTTTCTCATTTTTGAAATGACAGAAACATGTAATGTTTGACATTAATCTTGAACTGATATCATATTTGTCATTCTGTGTGCTGTAATCTTTGTCCACACTACAGTAATGGACGAGGACAAAGAGTTGGAGAGCGCCATGTTGAACATCTCACCCTCTGACCTGCTGAGCACGAGCAGTCAGTAACACTGTTAATACAGTCAGTTAATTCTTCAGTCTTTCTTGCAGATGTGTATCTCATTTCTAGATGTTTGCTTTTTGTGTGTGTAACCAGTTGCTGTGGCTGCAGCAAAAAGAGAAGAGGGTGTGTCAAGAATACTTCCACGAGCAAAACCAGGTTTTTAAATGAGAGGTTTCAGGACTGGAGAGCTATTCTCTTGCATGAAGAATTGCCATCCTAAACTGAGCCATGACCTTCTGTGTTCTGCCTTTGCTTTTTGTTATGGCCACGTTCTGGCCAGGTTCCTGTTCCACGTGTCTCTTCCTACTGTTACACTAAAAGTCCTCAGGACTATGAATTGATTCCTGCTGAGAAGATGTGATTCCAGACACAGTGAGTATGTTATTTTTATTTTTTTGCATGTCTTGTACACTAAAAACATTGAAGTGGGGGTTTGCTCTATAAGTTGAATGCATGCTTGTGCACTGGGTGCTGTTACTCCTCCTGCTTAGGTTGATTAGTAAGAGGTTGTTTCTGACCTTTCCAGTATTATGTGTAAAGCTGTGGTAAGCAGGAAAAGTAACTGTGTGAGTTTGAGTTCATACTAACACCAACCAACACCTGCACACTCTGTAACTGCTGGAATAACTGCTGCCTTTTCTGTTTTAGTCCCGTCTGCAACGCTGTCCAGACCTCCTCCTGATGCATCAGAGCAACTGGAAACCTCAGCAGTTGATGGTGAGAAGATTCAAGCTCTGTTTTCTCAACTGTTTTATTTTAATCAAGGCTACATGAAGACTTTTTTCTTTACCTTGTTCTGGGACCAGTCCCAACCAGTAAACAAGGGAAGACACCTGCGGCCCTGCCACCAGAGCTGGCCTTCCTGGCAAAGGAAACATCGAGCTTCACAAAGAGCCTGGAGTCATCTAACGGTAGATCTCCACTAATATTGAACTAAACCTCTGTTTATTGCTGATAATTACACAACTACGTCAAATGATTTGATCTGATCCATTATTCCTGAAACAATAACAGAAAGATGGCTCCGTTTTTCAGATTCAAACACAACATCTGCTGGCTCCTCTGCATATAGAGTGCTGGATTTTGAAGACAGAGGTGAAAAGGGTGAGAGTGGAAATCATCTAGACAGCTTCTTTTTTGACTTTTTTACTTAACTTTAGCTTTATCATCTGTTCCACGCATTCTTTAACATTTGTTTTGACTGAAAGGACTCTAAAATCATCTGTCTTTTTGAATATCAGTTTCCTCAGCCCAGCCACCTGCTCCTTCACTCTTGCCTGACCGGGACCTTGATATGAACAGCTGGAGCTGTTCTCAGCACCAGAAACTGTGGATGAGGACAGAACTACAGGATCTCGGACTGTGGCCTGGCTCTCGTCCTGTTTGCAGCGTTGGGAATGCAGTTTCCCTCTAGCGTCTTCCTCCACAACCAGAGCTGATCGACACAGTGGCCGACCTCCCATCACCCAACTTCTTTCAGCTGCACCCGTTTTTCATCTGGAAGCCTGAAAGTAACATCATGATCAGACTGAGGAACAATTGCATCCTGCCCTGTCTTCATGGGTGTCATCATCCTCAGGTGGTCTCTGCTGGCGTGGGTAGGCCTCGGGTGATTGTTGGCACCGGTGGACAGTATTACATCTTTTTCTCCAGACTTTGTTGCAAGTCCTGTCGGAGAAACTGGTTTGCAGACAGTCCCCGGTGGCTGCAAAAGCTGCCCAGCCACTTCACAAACATTCTGCCTGCATTCCTGACTTATAAGAAGGCCATCTGCAAGTCTGTAATGGATGAGCTGAGACGCACGGGCAAATCACCATCAGACATGGCAAATCAGGTGAATGAACTCATGCATCTCAAATATGAGCGAGCTCACCTGGCATACCTGCAGGCAATCGAGAGCGTTTGGGATGCTGAGGCAGGGGTTCATGGACAGAAGACCATTGGGCAGTTTGTGAGAAAGGACAATGCACCACGTCCTTTTGGCTCCTATGAAGATGCCAGTGGGTGGTGTGGAATTTCTGTTTCCAGCTTCTACCTCACTGACTGTCTGCTGGAAGAGTACAGACGCCAAGAGCCAGCCATGTCCAGGCTCCTTCAAGGTTCTTTTGGACAGATCTTCAGGTCTGACCACACCAGAAAAGTTGCACGCAAAGTGACACTTGCATCAGGGACAATGTCTAGCTTTGCGATCATGAACGAAAACTGGTTGATTGTTTCCTGGGTGATGGTTCAGTCTGAGGCTGAGAGGTCCTTGCAGCCGATGTACGAGGGAGTGGCCAGGAGGTACGCTGAAGCTGAAGTGGAGAAGGCAGGCTACCACTGGGTGGACAGGTGAGAGCAGACATCTTCTCTCTTCTTTACCTTTCAGTCTGCTAATGATCATGATTGTGTGTTTTATGTCTGTTTTAATGTGAAACCTTAGTGATTAGGAGAAAAAAACAAATGGTTGACTAACAAAAACACAATTCTTTAATTTTATTTAAAAAAAGACTTTTCTACTAAATTAGAAAATGTTGGAAGAAATTAATGAAACTGTTATAATACACAGTGATGCAAAAGGAAAAACATTAGGAAGAAGTGTTTATTGTTTATCAAGATCATGACCAGCTGTTTGATGACATCATCCTAACAGAACCAGGAAACCTGGTGCTCAGAGACCAAACACAGCAGTCAAAAACATGATTCTAATTATTCTGCATCTTTGTGTATCTTCCGATCAGGGATTGCTGTGCTTCTTTCAAGATCCCAGACTCCATCCCTGGTGAACATTTACTCTGGGATGCTTGGAAGACAACCCCTGCCATTGTGAATGCTGCTACCTCTGGACCCCTGGCTAATACTAGTGCCTCTCGATCACATTACAACCCCAACATTGTCATAAAACTGGACTTGTTTCACTGCCTCAGGCGCTTTTCACAGGAGTGCACGTCTGAGCATCACCCCCTCTACAGCAGTTTCTGCCAGCTTCTCTCTGCTGCCTTCTCTGTGGTGGATCAGGAGGACCTCAAGAAGCTCCGGGACGCCTACGAACTCTGTGGTATCCGGCCAGCCAATCCCACCAAACAACACATATGGAAGCACTGCAGGACCAAGATACCACAGCCCACACAGCTCCTGGACAGAGTGGAAAAGGTGATCAACCATTTTCATCTGGCCAAGGATCCAAATGATGTCCCTCTGTTTAAACCCTCCATGCTGAAGACATGGCGCATACAGCGAGTGCATATTCTCCGTGGATGCCTCAGTGACCCTGAAATCTCTGAGGATCATGTACAGGTATGGTGGCACTCTTCAGCTTAACCATGTACCTGGAGAAGGAGCAAAGGTCAACATCTGGATTCCTGTCAGAGGTACATCACAACAAGAGGGGTACCATTTCCACCAGGCCCAGTGGATCACTGGAACCCATGCCTCCACTGAACTGTTTCAGGCGCAGGGAATGACAGGAGTGGCAAGATGGAACTACCAACGACTGGATCTTAAGCAACCAGACGTCGTCCTGCCAGCTGTATTTGATCCAGCTTTAATAGCTGAATTAAAGTTAAAGTTAAAGTCCCATTAGTTGTCACACACACTGATGTGTGTGCGAAATTTGTTCTCTGCATTTGACCCATCTCCTGGGGGAGCGGTGAGCTGCAGACACAGCCGCGCTCGGGAACCATTTGGTGGTTTAACCCCCCAATCCAACCCCTTAATGCTGAGTGTCAAGCAGGGAGGCATTGGGTCCCATTTCTTTTCAAAGTCTTTGGTATGACCCGATCAGGAATCGAACCCTGATCTCCCAGTCTCAAGGCGGACACTCTACCACTAGGCCACAGTTAAACAGCTCTTACAAGAGAGTGACTGGACAGGAGAAATATCCCACTCTCAGAGTCTCTGGCAGGGACACCGGCGAAAGATTTGGACTTGAGTACATAGAGCCAGGCTGCCGGCCGGTCCCTCTTGACTGGGACAAACACAGGACTCAGAAGAGAGGTGAATCATCTGCTCCATTCCTGCTTCCTGTGCATTCATCCATCCCGGCTCAAGATCCAACTCCAGCGTCAACCTCCAACTTGGGTTCAGCTCCATCTGTCAGCCCTCTACTCTCTGCTGGTGACCTCCTGAAAGATGTCCAGGAATTTCTAGCCACACCAGGTAAGCCACTGAAATGTTTTCTACATATTTGCATTTTATTGTAGACAGTTCACCAATCAGCCGAGTAAGCAAGACCGTTTCATTGTGCTTCAGATCTTTCGTGTGCTCCACCTGTGCCTCTGAGAGCCTACCCAAGTGGCGCCCGCGTCGGACCCATAAAAACAGGTGGGCGGGTCTTTGTGTTGGATCACACACGCTGGACACCGCCCATGAAAGAGGCCATTGATGACCTGCTGCAGAAGCACCGTGGGGACAAGGAGATGCTGAAGCTTGTGGATCAGGAATACGCAGCCATTGTTCATCGAGCTGCTGCTGCTGATCCAAACAGCCTTCTGCATCCGACCACCAGACTGCACATCTCCCGCTACGTGAAGCACCTGGTGAAACTGCTCAACACCAGTTCTTCTTTGAACATAAGCCCAGAGAAACTGAGGGATACGCAACCACTGTGGCACTCTTTAACAGATGGGAGTGAGTCATCCCATGTTCCTGTGGTCACCGTTGAGCCAGCTACTTTCAACCCTCCTGCACCTGCTTTGTCCTCACCTCTGACTCAACACTCTCTGGAAAAAATCGTACAGGGCATTTTGAGCAAACAGCAGCAGCAGCAGCAGCTCCCGCCAGGGCAAAAGAAAAGACAAAGATGTGTCTTTCCTGTGGACAGCCAAAGTCTCGATATGAAACTGATGGATCCTCGATCCACTTTTTCTATCAACAGGGGCCTGTGCGGTATTTTTACTGCTCACAAAAGGTGCACCAGAGCTATGCTGCTGAAGGACTCTCTAACCCTAAAATGTCCTTTGAGGACTTTTCAACCACTGACTTTTTTCAGAGAGAACTGGATGCAACCAAGACGCGAATGGTCAAAGAGATGAGCTGGAAGGAGTTCAGTAAGTCTCCTTTCTACGAGGCGGAAAAACAAAGATGGGTGGAGGAAAAGAACAAATGAACAACTTGGGTTTATTTAGTTCATTAGTTTATTTATGTAAATAGAAAATGTTGTAAATCCTCAGAGGATTGTTTCATTGTTTTTTTATCCTCTAGGTTACTGATCAGATGTAAATTTGCAAGTGTAAGTTTAACATCTGTACTTCTGTTTATTTTGGTTTGTCACAGGAACATTGGGACTAGTTTGTTTCTTTGTATATAATGTATATTGTGTTTCTGTTAAAATACCGTCTGTTTCATGTTAAATAAAAAAAAATTGTTCTATCATTAATTGCACCAAAATGTTATTTAAGTTGTTGCTTATAGCAGCTACTTGTACATATCAACATCTGCTGGCTCAGTTTGTCTGGAGCAACACATAAACAAACCTTGCAGTTGTGAAAGGAACAAAATACTCACTGACTGCTGCATTTGAAAAGCTTTGGCAATAAAATATTTTTGTGAGAACATTTTCTGTTGTCATGAATATGAACAAATCAAATTCAAAGTTTAATAGCTTAAAGCAGAAGAACATCAGATGTGATGGTTCATATGTGATTACATTTTACTTTACTTGGTAGTATTACATATACGGTATAGAGGTATAAGTTACACTAAAATAATTACTAGTAAAATGATTAATGAAATGGGATTTGAAAATCATTTACAAAACACTTTCACTTATTTATCACAATGTTTGAACAACAGCTTTTATTTTGTGCTGTTTGAACAGATCAGGAAGGAAGATAAGTGATGGGTTAGATGTGGCTCAGCATCAGCATCCTGCAGCAATGAATGCTGCATTTTCATTGGCTATTGTCACAGCTATTCACGGTTGGCCTTTACCAGTCAGGAGAGGTTAAATACTTTTATTGCTCCGTTAAAGTCCACCAAACCTATGCACCAGAGGGTCTGACAGATCCACGGATGCCATTTGTTGATTTTGCCAACTCAACTTTCTTATGAGAGAGCTTGAGGCTGCAAAGCTGCGCTCCACAGAAACAAAACAGGTTATGGAGGAACGAAAAAAGAGGAAGGCGAAAGAGGAGCATCCCACTGGAAGACTATGCAGGTTCTGCCACAAGCCAATCAAACAAGGCCGAGACAGTCCTCACGTCCACACCGGGTTTCCTGGTGTATCAGGGAAATACATCTACTGTCCCAGTAAAGTCTTCTCTCTGTACAAAGCATGAATGATAGAGGAAATGACGTGGAGACAGTTCTGTCAGTCTTCCTTTTATGAGACAGAAAAGAAAAGATGGGCAGCAGAAAAACAGAAGTGATTGTTGATCTGCTGGCCACAGCTTTGTGATGTTGAATACTGTCATGACAGCGTTGTTAACGTTATTTTCAGCTTCAGAAGTTGTTGCAGTGTCGATGGCCAAAGGTTTCCTTCTTTTCAGACAAAGATCATTCTAGCATGAGTTGAAACATTCTTGTTCTTGTTTGCTGGTTTTGCCACGTTCAGGCTTGATCTAATGCATGTGTTCATTGTGTTCTCTGAAGGCTTTTGTTTTTGTCGCTGAGGGTAAGTACAGAGTTTAAGATTTGCATGTTTGTCTGCTGAAACACTGAGGGTGTGGTATGAAACTGAATTTCAGGGTAAAAGAGTAAACAAAAGAAATAATATTGAACTTTAAAAACTGCATCATTCATTTATGTCAAGACTGATTACCACATAATAAAATAAGGTAAAAATGTAAATCAGTGATCATACCACAACCACATTTAACTTGATGAAGTCCATTATCTTTAGACTTTAGAAGACAGACGTGGGTCACAGCAGTAAAATTATTTTTCTGCTTTAGGAAAAGTCAAAGCATCAGCTGCAGCCTCACAACCAGACCAGTCTGATGATTGCAGCACCCCCGTATCCTCTGCATCAGGTAGCTGAATGCACATGTGCATATATATGGTTTGTTTAACCCATTGTCATGGTCTGCATCTCCCTCATGTGTCTCGTGTTCTCCATCCCCCCTAGGATCCCCGTATGTGTCTCCTTGTGTTCCTCATGTGTCCCCTTGTCTGCAGCCCCTCCAGGTCCCCCCCCCCCCCCCAGGTCCTGTGCTCCCGTTGGTCTCCCCTAGTCACCCCTCTGTAGTTTTTCTATGGGTTCAGCTTTTCATTTAATTAGTCTCTTTTACTGTTTCTTTCCCCACCAGTTTTTTAGTTCTCCTCCCTCCTTAGATCATTAGTTGTTTATCTTACTCTTTTTGTCTTTAGGTTTTGTTTGTACTCTTAGGTCATGTTATTTTCCCCTCCTCAGCTCACTTTCCTCTCACTGATTAGTTAATTGATTTCACTAGGTTTCTCTCCCCATGCACCTGCAGCTCATCTCCCACTCATCCTGCCCCAGTGTATTTAACCCTGTCTGCGTCTCAATGTGATGTTGGTTCACTGAATCGTGTCAGTGTGACAGATGTATTTCCCTGATATACCAGGAAACCCGGTGTGGACATGAGGACTGACTGCTGTGTCTCATCATGACAGCCATACTAACGTCTGATGTTTTCCCCAAGGTCCTGCATCTTTGGAGCCTCCACTACCAGTTCCTCCAGAGTTACTTGCCCTCAAAATTCCATTGAGGAAAACCACACCACCCTTAAGACTGAAGCCGGTATCAGGCCTTGGTGAGTGTGTAAAAAAAAAAAAAGAATAATCATATTTAATTTATATTTTATTATACTTATAAGTTTACTTGTGTGGTTGTTCAGCACTCCTTCCGGGAACGCCTGCAGCATCTTCAGCTTCCTCAGCATCACCTGCAGTTTCTGGTCAGTCAGTGTTAGGCCACCCCACCACACCTACTCCTCCTTCAGCAGTCTCTGCAGCGAGAGATCCACCAGCTCAGTCTCAGAGACCTGCTGTCCCACCGATGCCCAGCTACAAACAGGATATGAGTCGATGGAACTGCTCTCACCAGCAAAGGATTTGGATGAAGACGGAGATGGCATCCCTGGGTCTGTGGCCTGGATCTCGATCGGTGAGACACCCAATGAACATGATCTCATTGTGGCATAACCCCCCTCAGCCAGAGCTCATTGACTCCATCTATGAACTGCCATCACCCAAATATTTTCAGCTGCATCCATTTTTCATCTGGAAACCAGAGCATGCCATCATGGAAAGAGTGCGTAACAATTACTCACTTCCATGCCTCTACAATTGCTCAAACCCCCACGTGGTCTCGTCAGGAGTTGGTCGGCCTCGTGTTGTCCTTGGAGCAAGCGGGCAGTACTACATCCTGGCCTCACGCCTCAGCTGTGGAGTCTGCAAGAAGTTCTGGTTTGCAGATAAACCTCAATGGGTCAGCATGCTGCCAAATAGATTCTGCAGCATTTTTCCAGCATTTCTGACCCACAAGAAAGGCATATGCAGGACCGTGATGGATGAGCTGCGGCGGTCAGGAAAGTCTCCAAATGACATGGCCAACCAGCTAAATGAAGTTCTCCATCTTAAGTACGAGCATACTCACCTGGCATACCTCTCCTCTGTTAAAAACATAATGGATGGAGACTGTGGACTGTATGGCCAGTGGACCATCACTGCAACTCTGAGGACAACAGCTGCTCCTGCTGCTTTTGGGATGTACGGTGATGTTGATGGCTGGCATGGAGTAGCTGTTGAAGCTCATTACCTGGTTGACTGTCTCATTCAGGAGTATAGAAGGCAGAAGGACTCGCTGAATCTGCTTCTTCAGGGTACCTTTGGGCAGGTCTTCAGAGCTGACCACACCCGTAAGTTGGCACGGAAAATGGTCCTCTCATCAGGCACCATGTCACCATATACCGTCATGCCGTCTACGGCTGGAGAGTACAGGAATAATTCTCCCCCTTACCTGGATGGACTAACGGCGTGTTGGGAAGCTAAGTGGTTACCGCCGTGCTGGAGGAGGAAACGTAGGAAACGAGGTTCTCGTGGGGGACGGCTTGTCAGGTGGAAAGCCCTGAAGAATTGTACTGGTGGTTCTCGTACGATCCTGTGGGCAGCTACAAAATTTGTGGTGCCATGGCGAGTACTGGATCCGGTTGGCTCGTGGCTCGTCCATGTTGCTGACTGTCCAGGTGAATGCGGTGGTTGTCCCCCTCCTTCCCAGCGGTTTGATCAAAGAGGAATCAACTTGCTGAATCTTCGACCAGTGATTAGAGCTCCAACTATCATTGGAGCTAATACATCATCTTGTTTGAGGTGGGGCCTGGTCAATGCTAGGTCGGTGGCTAACAAGACATTCATTTTAAATGATTTTTTTGTTACACATGGTCTGGATATTCTTTGTGTAACGGAGTCATGGATTACTGCTGGTGAGTCCTTTGCCCTTAATGAACTAGTTCCGGCTGACTGTGTTTCTATCAATGTTCCGAGGGATAAAAGGCGTGGAGGGGGCATAGTAGTTGTATACAAAGCTAATGACAAGATTAAAAGACTTATCCCATGGTCCTCTAACAGCAGTTTTGAACTGTGTTTGTTTGAACTTGGTCACCAACAACAGCCACTCCTCTGTGTGGTGGTCTATCAACCCCCAAAATATAGTAAGGATTTCTTATCTGAGTTCAGTGAATTTTTGGCTAATTGTGCATCTCGTTATGATCAAATTCTGCTAATGGGAGATTTTAATATTCATGTTTGTTGCCCTGGAAAACTGCTGGTCACAGATTTTATTAATCTCATGAACTCTTTTAACTTTATTAAAAATGTTAATGGGGTCACTCAGGTATGTGGTCACAAATTGGACCTTATTTTGTCATTTGGATGTACTGTGTCTAACCTTTGTGTTCATGATACAGTTTTGTCTGACCATAAGCTGGTAATATTTGATACTAACATGGGTGAGAGTATGCTGAAATCTGTTACTCCTGTTACACTTTCTCGCTCTGTCAATTCAGCTACTTCAGGACAATTTTTATTTTTATTTAGTGAAGCTGTGCTTCATTTATCTGATGAGAGAAGTCTGGATTGCCTGTTAAGCTGTTTTAACAATATTAGTAAGGACATTCTGGACACTATTGCACCTCTTCGAATAAA